TCTAGGTTCCATATCATAAGTCACAAATTGGAGAGTGGCTTACAGACAAGATCAAGAAGCAGTTCAACTCTGTTACTGTACTGCAACCTGAAGATAATGTGGTTGAATATCAAGCCAGGAATCGTGCCATGTATGTGTCATTACTTATTTTTGCAAAAATAGACTAATGCACGAGTTGACTTCTGAAGAACCCAAACCCTCAACTCCCAGAAGTGGTACCCATACATTATCCAGCAAACAGACAATGAGCAAATTCAAACTTATCCGATGGAAGTTGTTATCTTGATAATATAACACCAAATTCTCATTATCAATGTACAAGAAAATGTGTAGCAGCTAGAGGGGAGAGAGAAACAATCAGAGAGAAATAACAATCAAATATTGTGAGTTGAAGGGTCAACCATGAGTGACCTTTAGGGAGCATTTCTCCTTGCAGTATCAAATGATTACAATATCAAGCGTAAAAGTGATGTGAATAAATAATGGTAATTGAACTGAGTGGAGTGCAATTTGGGCTGAAATCATATGCGTGATTTCAAAATTGAACAAGCGAGCAGCGCGAGTTTGATTTGAAATCACAAGTATGATTTCAGACCAAAATTGCACGACACACGGTTCAATTACCACTTAATTACATCCAAATACAGGACTTGGTCAATTCAAATATTTTATTGATGCAGTACTGAGCTGGTTTTTAAATAAAAAGCCAAACCGGAAATGCTTTTACATCTTATTTTGTATGCAAAGCAGAAAGACTTTGACATCATGTGTCAAAAACTCAGTCAAGCATAAAATGATGTGATTTAGAGCAAAAAATGGTGCGATTCGCAAATAAATCAACCAATTAGATCCAATCAGATTACAGGGACCACCAGTGATTTCAAAATGGATGTAATAAAGAAAAATATCAATAATATTATTAGGGATATTTGTTGATCCTGGACAAATTATTTGACCTAGCATCATTAGAATTGTACAGCGGACAGTAAGGGGAATTACTAGGGAGGAGTTGAGAGTAAAAGGCTACCATGATTACTTCAGTATCCAAAGGGAAACCTGTAGGGCTGCTGATGTTAGATTCTCTTAACTAACAAATAGGAAAGTGTTTGTAAACTATTATGATAGAGAATTTTCACTTTAAGCTCTGAATAATTGCAATGTCTAATTATGAGTTTTCTTTTATTGTATTCAATCAGTGAGATGTGTGAGGAAAAGAAGTGTGACTATCTGTTCACAGTTGATGGTACTGTTGTTCTTACTAACAAGAATACACTGAAGATTCTCATCGAACAAAACCGGTCAGTTAAAAAAATCTGGTTGTCTTATTTCCTTTACACCAATGGTACTATCAAATGCAACTCATTTTTCTCACCTTAGCAATGCAATGCCCAAAATGTGACCATGGATGTCATTATTATATTTTAGTAATGCCTTTTGCACTGATTTTAATTAAGCTATTTCTTTTATATTTAAGGCCTGTTTTAGCTCCTATTGTATCAAAACATGGCAAGCTATGGTCAAACTTTTGGGGTGCATTGGGAAGTGATGGATTCTATGCCAGGTCACGCGACTACCTTGCACTTGTCCAGAGGCAAAGAAAGTAAGTGCAGTGTATCTCTTATGCTTTGATCCTTTCACTTCCTCCTTATTACAAAGTCAGTGGGAGATGCGGTGTTCCATTATGGTTAGTGTGCTGGACTTTGTGGTGAGATGTCCAGGATGTCCGGGTTCAAGACTTGGCTAGGTCAATGTGATGTGTTTATAGGAAAAACACTTGACTCTCACAGTGCCTCTTTCCACCCAGGAGTAGGAATGGGTACCAGTGAATTTTCAGGGAAGCCTGATAAAATGCAGGTAGGGTAACTTTGGGATGGGCTGGTATCTCATCCAGGGGGGAGTGGGGGAAGTAGCATTGCTCCAAGTTGCTTTATGCTCTGGAAACCTAGATAACCTCTGATGGCTGCATGGGCCACTTGGCTCAAGTACAGACTTAACTCTTTAATCCCTGAGATCTGATTGTTAATTCTTCCCTCAACTTGCTACATATTTCCTTGAAAATTAGTTAGGAGAATTTGGTGTTAGATCAAGACAACGACTTCTAACTGATGATTTTGAGTATCCTCAGTACCTGTTTGCTGGATAATGTATGATTATAAAAGGGAAAAGTTTCATGTTAATCACTTCTGGGAGTTAAAGGTTAAACTACTTTTTTGCTGTAATATCAATATATCTCTGATCAAAAAGGTGATTGGACAAAATGATCATATTCAAGGGGACACAGTTTAAGTCGTGATTGAACACAAAATTCTCAGCACTAAAGTGATCAGAAATGGTGGGCAGGCAGAGGAGAGAATTGATAGTTAGATCTTTGAGTGAAAAGGTTGAATTAGATGTAAGTAATGATAATTTTATCTTGTTAGATCTTGATCTGTCCTCTTTCTGATTTTAACTGGATCCAAGCTAATGTCATTTTTCCTCAGGGGTGTGTGGAATTCTGTCTTCATCTCAAGTGTTTATTTAATCAAGAAAGAAGTATTAAGGAAGATTCATGGAAGTTATGGACCTTCAGAGTTTGATCCTGATATGGCTATGAGCAAATTTCTCAGGGAAAATGTGAGTGAAACACTAATGAGTCAGCAATCACATGCTCATGATGTTACATAGCAACAGTGTAGCACAGCAACATATCTTTACAGATAAAATTGTCTGCAAGTAGAGGACCCTTCTGAAACTGTAAGAGTCCATTTGATTGGTCTCAAAATATTGAAGAGCTACAGGTTGTATGCTCGCGTCAAATTTTCAAAATTATGTTTTCTTTTGAAAGTTCCAGTATAGAGCTCCACATGAGTGAAAATTTCTGATAAAGGTAGTTATTGTGTTGTGTTTCCTTTAGGGAATTTTCATGTATGCCACCAACGTACATGAATTTGGCCGGTTGTTAGAGACAGAGAACTACCCCACAGATCACGTGCACAATGACCTGTGGGAGTTGTTTGATAACAAAGTGGTAAGCGTTCATTCATTTTTTGTATCCCTACCTGGGGCTACTCCACGAGTCAGGCTCTATGAGGATAAAGTCTTATTTCCTTATAATTGAACTCACGAACCTTTGCTATTTTTAACCCTTAAAACTGTAACCGTGACGAGCAGTTAACTTCTCCATACAGTAATACTACTGAATCATCCATTAAGATCATGAGAATTAAGGAAATGATCACCGACGCGAGAAGTTCCGATTGTTAAACAAATTCTCCTTGTCAGTACCAATGGAAATGTTTAGAAAAGAGTTTGGAGGATATCGATACTGATGTTAGGGTGTAGAGGGTTAAATTATTAGACCGTATGATCTTGGAACAAAAATGCATGACACAAGAGTTCAATTAATTGCCTCTTTATTACATCCGTTTTTATAATCACGCAACTTTATATACTAAATAGAAACTTACAGTTGTAAGTGAAATTAATCCAAAGCAATCTAAGAAAGAAGCTTCTTTGAAATTGATTGCTGTGGACATCTTTAGAATTTTTAAAACGCTTGGAAGTTACTCGGGTGTCTTCAGAATTGATTGCGTCTCTCCGTTTTTGATTCAAAAGAGATGGAAATGTTGTGGTGTGCATGAGAAATACTCTAAATACCTTTAAAATGAAAGTTTCTTTTCATTCCCTGTATAAAAGATGTGAAATGATGATGAATACGATGAGACAACTCTGTTTTGATAACTTGTAGTTGTTCCACTTGAAGGTGGTGTGATTTTGTGGTTGTGTATTTGTTTTAGGATTGGGAGGAGAAATACATCCATCCAAACTATTCCCAAAACTCAAACCTCAGCGTTTCCATTGAGGAGGTAAGAACGTTATGCATTATCCAGAGTGTATTTGTTAGTAACTAACATCTCCCAGTCAGAAAGGTATCTCGGTGAACAAACCAGACTCGATCCCTTCATGGTATACTGGTTCATCGCAGGTTATTTTGTGAGCCCTTCCTCTTCCTTTTGGTAACCGGCAGTGCGGTCGTGTTCTTAGAGCGAGTTAACGTTGAGAAGCTCGCGATCGTTTATTCGACCGGCCATTTTTGATTTGGAGTTAGAATGGGGCGGGAAAAGGCCAAAAGACTATTATTCATTACCTTACCCCCTCACCTCTCCTTCTTTTTGACCGTCGCTCACCCCCTCAGTACAAATTTCTTTCTCTCCCCAGCCTTCCGCTGCTGTAGAAATCAAAGATCACAACTATAATTTCCATCACGATAATACTAAGCACTCGCCCGCCAAAATTACGCCTGCTTTACAGGCTATCCCCTGAGTGGACAGAGGCATTAATAAGGTTGTGTTGTTCCCAAAAACAAAATACGATAACCTTAACCAGGGCTTAACCTGCGTGCCCAGCTTCAAGGCTACTTCATCTCCTGCCTTTATGAAGAAAGCAGTTATCGAAGGAGCTATAGATGAACATAGTCTTATTTCAGTAAGAGTGAAGTGCGCAAGTTTTGCAATGTAATAATTCACGAGGGGCTCAAGACCAGGGCATGTTTATGGAAACGGATATGGGGCAGGCGTTCAGACTTAAAAGTTTACAGTAGTGAACAAGCAGTTTAGAGAGGCAATGGATGGGAAAATGCTCAGAGAGCTCTCTTACAATAAGTTTCGCAGTTTGATTTCTCCACCAATCGTTTTAGGTTAGTAGTAACACATAGTACATGTACACTTGGGCTGCCTGCGGTAGTCGCAGCTCTCAGTAGTCATCCTTACTCCGCGGATCTTACTAACGAGACTAAGAAGACTTTCTGTTTTAGTTTATTATTTTAAGAGGAAATGTCCTTTCACGGAAGGCAAAGTTGGTGTTCCTATGCAGTTCTTACATTTCAATTTTTAAATGAATGTTTATCTTTAGCCCTGTCCTGATGTGTACTGGTTTCCTCTTGTGTCGGATACGTTCGCCAAGCATCTTATTGAGGTAATGGTAGTCAGAATTTAGAGAGCATTTGTAATAATAATAATAANTGAAAGACAAAACTTATAGCTGAAACTAGTCAATTCATGCTGTTTATAGTCTTTGTAATCATTCATCCTAAAGTTGTTCTCAATTTCCTAGAGTCAGTAGTCACATGCTGTCCTATGGCAATGGATGGCCACATTTTGGCTGCACAGGCAGTAGAAGGTAATAGTGTAATCCAATAATTATATACAAATTTTAAAGGTCAAATATTGGCTTGTCAATCCTAGTTCAAATTATATTTTGAAAAATTTTGACCATGAATATTGTAAAATTAATGTAATATCAAAAATGGAGACTAAGTTAAACAAGACGTGTACTGTTTTTCAGTGGGAACAGTGGAAGAGGACTGAGGTGGATCACCTGGTTGGTGCAGAGGTGAGTAAGTAAAGACTAGAAATGAATCATCTTAATCTGGTCCTGCAAAGAAGTTATGTGCTCAATTGATTCTACATTCTTACTGTTAGACCCAAGATGTGGACCAGCCTATGATTTACAGCTTCTAAGAAAACTAATGGTAGCACATGATGTGCCCCCAGTGCTACCATTCCTGTGCATAAATGCACGAGAAGTAAGTGTGTGAAGGTTTGTAGGGATGATTTTAGATAAGAGTTGCATACAAAGTCTCTTCAGGTTATGATGGACAAGTCACAGTTGGCCTAGTCATAAGCATGTGAAACTTCAGATTGTGTTGCAGTCAGGTTCATGACCTTGCTATATGTCAGGGGGTTTTGTGTTTGAATGAAATACATTCTTTCTCAAAGTGCCTATTTCCAGCCTGCACCATTAATGACAACCAGAAAACTTGCAGGGAAACCTAATCAAATGCTGGGGATTAACCTCTTAGGAGCCAACAGCTATACATGACCTTGTTTCTTGAGCTAACCGCCTCCCGGTTAGCTCAATTGGTTAGAGCGCTGGACTGTTGTGCGGGAGGTCGAGGTCGATGGTTCGAGCCCCGGCCGGACCAACACTCAAGGTCTTAAAATAACTGAGGAGAATGCGCTACCTTTCTTTAATAAGAAATGGATAGACATTCTAGTCTTCTCGGATAAGGACGAATAAACCGTAGGTCCCGTCTCCTGCATCTATTAATTAGATAATTTGGTTAGGCAGGGGACGTTAAAGAACCCACTCACGAGATTACTGTGATGTGGTCTGGCCTGTTTACTGGGAATTGGGGGGAGGGGGCATCTTCAAATAAGTTTCCTTCGATTGTTTGTAAACTGCTGATGCAGTCTGGCCAAAGTCCCCCGAACAGTGTTGTGATGCGCATTTGATCATATCGACACGTTAATTTGCGCAATATAAATATTAAATTATTGTTGTTATTATTATTATTATTATTATTATAATGATTTTGACAATGACTCGTCAACGGTGTATCCATTGACAATGGCCTTTTACCTGTTAACTATTACAAGAAATTTTCAAAGTTGCCGACGGTTTTCGATTGTTAATCTCTAAATTTATAAAATTGTTACACGTAAATGATATCTGAAACCATTTGTAGACTTTCAATGTTAATTTTCCTTTATTTGTTTCGCAGGAAATGGAGCAGTTTGGAGAATGGTCCGGCGGAAAGCACGAGGTGATCACCCGCTGCCTGTCTCCGACATTTTTCGGTGCTCAAAGTCATTTTGTAACAGATTTGTATCCGTCACCGTATTAACTTTTTTTCCTTTTTTTATGACACATTATTCTTAGGACAAGCGACTGTCAGGAGGTTATGAAAATGTACCAACAGATGACATTCACATGAACCAGGTTCGTAACTCTTATTACTACTTCACAGTCAGTTTCGTTTTCCTCATCAAGCAACTTTTATCCTGGCCATGTCTTTGGTCCAGTTCTCTCCAGGGCCCGTTCACACATTGAAAACTCTTAAAAAAAAAAAACCCTTGAAAACACTTGAATTTTGAAAGTGCTTCTTCAAGACCTTGAAAGCTCTCGAAATTCTATTGTCTTCTTGTGGTGCGGGAAGCTCATGGCTCAACCGTTTTACAATGACCATCGTTAAATGGAAAAGAAACACGCAGAGAGGGTGGTCACAAAAAAAAGTCTTTTCGGAAAACTGCTGCTTTCTTAGAAGGTAGCAGGAAGCTTTTCCCGTTGGAACTAAAGTTTTTGGCCCTTAAAAGCGGTACCCCTTTAATAGAGGTTCCAGTTTTTTGCAATGGTCAGAAATAGGGAAAGAGTCAGCCTAAAACCGACGATACCGACGATGAGCTCGGGAAGATGAAAAAAAAAAACCGACAAGCTCGATTAGGAGCCAAAGTTCACAAGCGCTGGGAATGAAACCCTTGCCATGCTCGGCTAAAGTGAAGCCGTTAACAAATCCGCATGCATTGTTCCTTTAACGTTCATAATACACTTGGGGATTTTATCCCACCTTCATTTATATTATTTTTGTTTTTGTTCTTTTTTCGTCTGCAGATTGGCTACGAGAGACATTGGCTTCATTTCCTTAAGGAGTACATTGTACCAGTGAACGCCAGACTTTATCCGGGCTACCACTCTGAGGTAAAAAAAAAATGGTTCTAACCTTTTACAGCGTACATCGATCAGTTTGCTTATTCTCCTTGCTATTCTCTACACATTTCTTCATAGTGTACCTTAAACATTTTTATTTTGTCCTTCAGGCTCGTTCTATCATGAACTTTGTGGTAAAATACGATCCAAAGAGGCAGTACTATCTAAGACCCCACCATGACTCTTCTACATACACGATCAACATCGCCCTTACAAGGCCAGGAATAGACCATGGGGTAAGAATTATCAATTTTTTGTAAGTAACCTTACGAGTTCCCATACTGATCAATTGCCTCGCACTGTGTTGCCAATTATTAATATCCCTGTTCATCATGAATTTCCGAGGATATTCGAGATTACATTGGATTTGCTTCTTTGCACCCTGTGATTGGCACGAAAAAATTGCACCACTCTCTCTAAACCAATCAAAAACAAAACTGAATTCGCGTCTTAATTTCCCTTGTTTTCCTGCTCCTCAAACAGTGTTGTTGTTTCAAAAGTTTACTTCCTATGGGTTCCTTGTGATATTTCCATTTGTTACAAGTGTTCAGTTTGGCTCGGAACGTGGTGACGCGGTTTTTTTTTTTGTTGTTTTTTTTTTTTTGCACCACTAAAGCAGCATCTTGGCAACGCAGAAATAAGACAACTCAGACCATTTCCCAATTCTAACAAAAAACTACGTAATACTGAACTCTTTGGCGACTTATAATGTCAAAGTGTGGTCGTCATGCAAAGCTCTACTTTTTTATTTACAGGGCGGGGGTTGCAGATTTTTGCGGTATAACTGCCAAGTAACAGAAACTCGTAGAGGCTGGTCGTTCATGCACCCAGGAAGACTCACCCATTACCACGAAGGGCTACCTGTAACATGGGGAAAACGATATATCATGATATCATTTATTGACCCTTAAAGAGACAAAATTATTGTTTAATATCAGAGTTATATCTCCTATTTTTAGGATGAAGTCTAAGACGCCAAATAACAAAGCTATTTTTTTATGACTGATTATATTTTCTTCACCCTAAATCACTTTTCTAGTGACTATTTTCCAACCAAGATATCAAGCGTTTTGTTCTGCATTTTTTTTCTGATCAATAAATGCACAATGAAAAGTTATGAGTGTCCAGTTTAAAAAGTTAAACTATCGTGGTGAAAAACTAACCAGTGTTAATTCTCTCCTCTAACTACTAAACGTTTCTTTGGAAATTAGTAGTGAGAATTTGGTGTTAGATCTAGGTAACAACGTCTACCTCATAAGCTTGAATATTCTCATTACTTGATTGCTGAATTATGTACAGATATTATAGGGAGAAGTTAGATTTTAATCACGCCTCGTTATTTAGTTAACCCTCTACACCCCAACATCAGTATCCATATTCTCCAATCTCTTCTCTATATTTCCTCTAGTACCAACAAGGAGAATTTGTTTAACGATCAAAGTTCTTAGCTTGGTGATATTTCCCTTTATTCTTATGATCTTAGTGGATGATTCAGCTGTACTACTGCAAGGAGAAATTAGATGCTGGTCCCTCAGGGATTAAAAGGTTTAAGAAGTATGCTTCGGAAAGCTTGTCTAGATTTTGATATTCGAGGGATATGTGAATTGTACCGACGTGCTCTTGATGTTCCTAAGAGTAATTGGTTAGAGGTTGTTACGAGTAATTACTTAATTCAGTCTCTCCTTGCTCTTCTTTTTTTATTTACCAAGGAATAACTCGCGAATACACAAGTACCATTAAACTGTAAGGCAAACGGAAAGGCACTCAAGTTTAGGCTGACATTTTATCCACACGTAGAAATGACTCCTCTCAATTGCTTCGTGCAGCATCAAACAGTTAACTTGATAGGCAGCAAAACTGTTGGACCGTGTTCTTTACTTCTTGTCTTAATTCTCTCATTTTCCAGCAGTATAGGAATGGGTTTAGAGTCGAGTTAAAGTACATCAGAGATATCGTCAAAGCCCATGCGAAGATAATTGACGGTGTTTGTGATGCGATTGTCATGTAAACGGAGATCAAACCAAAAGGGAGATAACAAGCCAGCAACGCCATTTGTACCCACAGTGCGGTGGACACTGTCTTTTTGTATCTTTGAGGGCGGATGAAGGGAGGGTACCTTTCGGAGAGCAACGATGATCAAAATATTTCCCAAAATTGCAGTGATGGATAGAGGAAGTGTCAAGGTCAAAGACAATATTTTATGACTGGCCGCTGCCCCAAGACCAGAAGTACAGATTAATTTCTTTGTTGCCACATAGTTCCTATCTTCTGTTAAGTTCTCCATTGCTTCAGTGCGACGTTTTCCTTTTACTTATTTTTTTCGGCAAGTCCTGACAACCCTGAAAGGATCAGTTCACAGCAGTCGCCTTCTATCGCTTCAATGTGATACTCGTTCATGTGTACTGACCTCTTCAAACCTCTAGATCGCTGAGGATTGTCTAAAATGTACAAATCTATTTCTAAATCATCAAAAGCTTCTCATTCGGGCCTTGACTTATGATCCTGCCGAACGCCGTTTGTTTGAAAAACAAGAACCATTTGAACACTTGAACTAAAAAAACACGTCCCCTTAGGAAAATCTCTCACGTGGAAATCCTGCGGCGACTTACGTCACGACGGTGCTGCCAACATTCGAAGAACGCGACGAGGCGAAAGACTTAAGGGCAAAAACGGCTCTGCACGTGCATTTCAAACTTTGAACGTTCCTTTGCTGTCGAATGAAAAACATCAAATACCATATTATTTTAATTCGTCTCCTTTCAAGGGATAATAGCTGTAGCTACTCGCTGTTGAGGACAAGCGATCCACTTTAGTCCGATTGATGAAGAAATACGTGAGACAATTTTTCGCAACCGGAAATGGCTTGGTGGTGGCTATTCGTGTCCCTTCAGTTCCTGATGCAACTAGTGATGTGTCATTGGGTGGTTTTTACATCTTTAACGCACGATTTTACTTGACAGTTTTCGAATTCAAAAGTGAAATAGGAATGAGCTAAAAATGTTTAGACAGAGTAATGACAAATTACGATACAGACAATCTTTTGCGTTGGTAAAGTGCGATCACCATGGTATGATTAGGCTCTTGACGTGTTTTGGCGAATGGACTATTTTAAAGAGGATTAGCCTTCTCAGAAACACTATTAAATTCCCTTTTTTGTTCTCCATCCGTTAATCATACCTAATCCTGTAGCATTACGAAAGTTCATGATCAATACGTCAACAAAATGAAGGCCAAAGAAGAGATTTGGGAAGAAGAGATTTGGGAAATTCACTCACATACAATTCCAAACTTGCCATAATTTATCAAAAGAGCCCAAAATACCCGCTCCTCGGCCAGCTAAACCTAAATGGATAGCAAAACTAAGGTCGACAAAGAACCCTGGCTATTAAGGTGCTTCACGCGAATTTCTGCAAG